TTATCACAGCTGAAATATAGGCTACAAACAGGAATGTGGGACATGGAGATTCTTATACTTGATAATGACGCATACCATATGAGCTGCTCGCTGATTAATGGCAAATGTGCTCAACTACTGCAATATTATTCCTGAACGACAGTCCTGATGTACACCATAAATACCCACTACATATTCATCCCATTAAAAAGTGACAGTGCTACTATCTCCCTCCATAGTGACAGATAATGGTAGAACTACCACCGTGCATTCCCTGTCACTCACGGTGTATGGAACTTTGCCCACAAGGAACTTTGCCCACAGGAGCTTTACCCACAGGAACTTTGCCCACTGGAACTTTGCCCACAACACTTTTTACAGGGGAGGAGCTTTGCCCACAATAATAATAATACAACATGATATAAATGATATTATTTTATTTTATTAAACTACACAGGAATAGCATATAATATAGCAACTTAATAGTTGAAAATGAACTATTTCTTATAATTTCCATCTTGTAATGCTATGTAAATCTGTAAACAATCTTTTATACTTTGTCAAGCTTCGGTGAAGTTCAAAAACAACATATTCGTGAGCAGGGCATTAAGGTGGGTGAGTAGTAAGGTCATTGTTTATTGTAATTAGAAAAAGAAATACCAACAACAAGAGAAGCCTCGGTGAAGTGCAATTAATGTTAGATCTCTTTTATAAATAACACACCCTGAGCAGGGTATAAGGGGTTTGAGTATTAAAATTTTTATAGTGTGGGCAAAGTTCCTCCCCTGTAAAAATTGTTGTGGGCAAAGTTCCTTGTGGGCAAAGTTCCTGGATTCATCACTCACAGTATCTGTCTCACAGTCCTCCAGCCACATTATTGTACCTTTCACTCAGCCCTTTCCTCAATGCTACAGCCCTACACGAAGCAAGCCCTAAGGTTCTCCATCTCCCAGGTAACTAGGGCTCCTCTTCAATTTAAATGGAGTTAGTAGTTTTTAACAAAGCTACCATATATTACCGTCTATAAGCCGACCCCATAGATAAGCCGACCCCCCAACTTAACCCTTAAAATCAGTGTCAAAATTATATGTTTCGTGCATAACCACACACACACACACACACACACACACACACACACGCTCGATGGGGTCCTAATCGCGGCAAACACAGACAACTGGCGGTTACCAATAATTATAACTTTGGTCCACATTATTAAAAAAATTCACAATCATATTGCATCTACTCACGCATCGAAATGAAGTTTAGTTGACAGAAAATGGATAATATATTTTGTTTCGCTAAATATCATACATATTGTAGTTAGATGATAACATGTGAACAAACTGGCTTGCTTATTACCGCCTTGTTTTCCATGGACTACTAGTTTACAGTAACATCGGTAAAAATAGTTTCATCCTGTTATATTATTGTGCATGTTTGAACTTGCTCGCCGGGAAACTTGTGCACAGCTTATTGCCATTTCCGGCTCAAAGACGCACGGTAATCTTATTCTTATTTAATTTATAGTGCAAAAAACTGTAATTAACATTACACAATGCTAGGATATATTTCTTTGGGTTAAATAATAGTATTCTGTATTATATTTTACTGATGACTGCGCCAGAATTCATCCCGCTATATTATTGTGCATGTTTGAACTTGATCGCCGGGAAACGTGTGCACAGTTGATTGTACGATAAATGTCATAATGACTAATATGATATAATATGTTGAAATAATGAAAACGTACAGGTTAATATGTATTTTATTCATCACTCACAACATAAACGCTGTAATCGTGGCAAACATCCTGGCAGATGTACCGGTAACCTGTAACATCGTCCTGGCAGGGCACTGGCGAAGCTAAAAAATATTTCCGTGAAATTGTATCTCATAGATCATAAAGACGACCCCCTTCTACAGACATATTTTTTTGGTCCTCAAAATTCGGCTTATAGACGGTAATATACGGTATATATATTCAGAGGGTAAGTGTTAGTCTATCTCTCTCTAGCAGTGGCTGGACCTCCCACTGAAGGTAACACTTCCAGCTCTCAACTTCAAAGGGCTACATACTGATCCAGAACTGTTTTTACCAAACACTGCCTTAGATAATGTCACACTGATTGTTCATCCACTGACTTATTCTAATCACTTCCACACAAAAAAACAACATGGGGGTAACAATTTAACTGTTCTGCAAGATGAAGAACGAAAAGCAGATTGGGTAATCATGTCCCAGTGTTAGCAGAAAATATCTCCCACTGGTTCTCCTAAAAGTGACTAATAGTGTTCATTCCTAATTACAGCAAAGGTAAACAGGATAAACAGAATCGGTAAACATTTTGCTATTCCTGACGAGTTAAGACATGTTATAGTAACCACACAGACGCTTTGAAACCAGTAAGTGGTCTATCAATATAATCACCTCTTACATTTCATCAATAAAATAACCAAAATACAACCATAAAAACATAAGGTAAATTTAATGGCATGTCAAAAACTAATGCTCTTTCAAGGCATCCAGCCCAGCTGCCTCCCCAGCAATATTTGTCCTGTGACATCCTTGTACATTCAGGATAACCTGTACTGGCACCAATAGGGCTGGTTTCAGTCAGCCTGCTTGTGTAATATATTACACTGAAAGCTTCAAGCAAGGTAAAAGATAAAATCCCTCCAGCAACAAGGAGCAGAAACATCCCATGCAAAGGATTCCTGAAATGCCTTGAAACACAGAGGTGGAAAGTTCACTTACATATAGAAAAAATGGAAGGCAGCCCGAGATAAGGTTATCCAGGACAGCCGACATTATTAATGATGATTGTTTAGTTCTATGAGCTGTCCATTAACAACTGCGTTAAGTATGTTATAGATCTGCATTCTTTGTATCACTATTTCCATGTGAGGCAATACCTGTTATAGCCAGTCATTGTGGATCAAAAACAAGTTAGCACATAGGGTTCCATTTTGAAAGCACTTACAGGGACGTGTCTAGACCTGCTCCGATGCTGATACTTAACCTTAAGTCTACAGCAAATGGCAGCTAAAAAAATCCAAATTTCAATTAAAACTTTCCCAATTGTTCATAATTTGTAAGAATAAGAACATAATCAAATTTGGACCATTATCAAGAATTTTTTACTTTTCCTACCAAAGGCACTTGGTTCTAAGTAAATCTTTTGGAAGTTTCAAGTGTTTTGTACTTCCAGCTCCAATACACATGGTGATGGGGCAGCCTAATGGGTAAAATGTTCACCTGTTGTGATGAACATCATGCTTCATTTTTACTTCTTTCAACAGCATTCCCTTAGCAACAAAATATTTTGACCTCTAAGAGCTGAAACTTATGTTACAAAACAGCCTAAATGGACCGAGTCAGTTTACAGAAGACTGGAAGCTGATTGTAAACCTATCAAAAACAAAACTTGTTATCTTAGGAAGCCAAGCTGATGATCATAACTCCAAATTCCATTTAAATAACATGCCTGTTGAAATATGCGAATCATATAACTATCCCAGAACCACTTGTCACAGTAATGGATCATTTAAACAAACAAAAAACCAATCTCGGAAGTGAAGCAATGAGAGGCTGGTTTAGATCAAATCCAGTGTGATAACAAGGACATACTCCTCCATATCTTCCTTACTAGGATTCCACAGGTCACTGATGGAAGCCTTGCAACCCATGGCAACTCTGGGTGCTGCTGTAATAACCAATCTTAGCGCTCAGCTGATTGTAACTGTGATTCCTTAACACAGACTTACGACAGTCCTAGAGCTGAGGTTTTGGACAGGGAGACCAACTTCCAAGACAACAAGATGTTCTACAAGCTGCTTTAGTGTCTCAGGCTGTTTCCATTACCACTGGTGGTATTTAACTCTATGTTCAATCATTAACAAAGATGCCAAAATATGAATGACAGATTTATCCGCATTTCTTGAAGATATGATATGGACTTGTTTGATCAAGGAACTTTCACAGTACTTAAATCCAAATGGAATGATAAAAGACCATCTGGTGATGTCACGGAACCTGTAACATATGTAACATAACATGTTTTTCTTGTGCTCTAAGAATCTTAACAGTTTTTTCAAGGCCATAGCGAGACAGTTTAAATACAAGCAGGAATTTTCTGTCAGAATCGTCCAAGGCTGGACTTAAAAAAACTTAAACATGACAGTTGATCCGTATTCATACTGTTTCTTTACAGTGGTTTCGCTATATGCAAACACAAAACCTTTCACAAAGAACTTCTTTATTGTTTGTAGCAATGATTCAGGTTGATTTCTTGCCCCTAATTACCAAACAAAGAGGCCACACATAGCCCTGAAACTTTGTCACTAATAGTCAGGAAGCTGACGAAACTTTTCACAAAGTATTCTTTTTATGTAACATTGACACAGGTCTATGTCTTGCCCCTAATGCACATGATAAAGCAACACGACATAGCCCTGAAACATTGCTACCAACAGTCAGATACTTGTTATCCATAAAAAGTTTGAGGTTTTCATGTTCTTCCAGCTTCTGACTGCATATGAATGACTTGGTAACAGTATATTTCTGCTTCACAGTTCAACACAGTCAACACAACAGAAGGACTAATATTTCATTGTAACAATAGTGTTGCACCATTAAGTTTCATAACCGGTACAAGAAACCACATTAACCTAAATGTAAGTCCTAAAAAATACCAAGTAGCTGGCACTTATTTTCACACAAAGCGTCTGAAAAAAATACATTGAAAACATATGCTATTTAAAGCACCAGTAGCAATCCCTGGTCTATCCCAGTGCCAACAATGAGGTTTGGAGTTTGACTGAAGGTATCTATGACTATATCCATCCTTTACATTCATAAACAATATGGAGACTACTTCAGCTCTCAACAAGACTGTTTATAGGCAAGTTGTCTGGGTAGTTTTTATCCAGTACCTCATGGGAACACATTTATTTCATGATGGCTATATCGTCCCTACCTCACTGAATGTGTTTTGTTGTGTAAGAAACTCAATGCGGCCTACCTTCAACCCAGTGCCAGCACAGGCAATGCCAAGAGCCATGGCGGCGCCGAATCGGACATGAGGGTTGTAGCTCTCGGACAGCAGGGACACGACACTTGGACACTGTTCGGGGGTTCTGAAAGGAGATGCAACTGAAGTTAGACAACACTTTATACAACATGTTCAGTATCTTCAACATGGAGTGATCTCCCATCGTGGCTGGTCATATGCATTGTGTTGGTATCGCTGTACTATGGTGTCTTGTCAATACAATCACATTCATTCCTGCTCTTCCAAGAAACAATGTGTAGTCTCCTGTAGTCATGCACTGATCAAATACAGCAAAAAGTCTCTCTCAAATGCAAATTCTAATCCATGGCTACATAACAAAAAAATGTAAAAAGAAAATTAGTTGAGTATTTTTATCACTCTGAACCTGCTAATGATGTGGGCCTGTTAGGAAGTTTGAGGAAGAAAGCCAAAAATGTTGCAGGGTGTAGAGTGTTACTTTGATAAAATCAATAAACATGGTTATGATGCTGACGGATCAATGATCATAATTGTGGCACATCTCAGATGACAATGAATGCCAAAAGGAACACCTGGCATGACTTCATGGAACATTAACATGAGAAGATTTAGACCACTGAGTCACACATGCCCACAAGTACATACCATCAGAGAAATTGAACAAAGGATTTTTTTTTTCTCCAAAATGCTGCTTCAGCCATTTCATTGTTTTGGGTTTATATTCCAAGAGGAAATCATGTCTCACAATCAATAAGCCTAAGGACAAACTTGAGAAACCAGATGTATGAAATAAAATAAAATATCTGTTTACCAATCAACAGTTGAAATATGTCACTGGCACTCATGTTGCACTGACTGCAAACTTGGAAGTTTGGCTCTTGAACTTTTGCCATTTGATACATTCAGTTCAATGTATAAAAAAAATCAAAGTCTTAAAAATACCAAAAGGTCCCAGTTTAACTCATGACTATCTCTGTCAAGTTTCATCTTGAATATTTAACAGTTTTCGGGGGGGAAACCAGCACTACTCTCATTTAGTAAAATCCAACTTGTCATCAAAACAAACCAAAACATGCAAAAATATCATCCCAAATCATTATAAACCGCCAGTTCACCACTAGTCTGATGTGTGTAGCAAGTTTCAACAACAAATATTCAAAGGTTGAACTTTGGAAACGGCAATGAAGGCAGGCCGGTTGATGGACAGCAGACAGATAGATGGACAGCAGACAGATAGACAGACGGACGAACAGAGTGGCATCCTGATCACTACATCCCAACATTTTTTTAACAGGGAGGGTAAATTGGTATCACAACCATGCCGATCTGAGGAGAAGCAGCATGGAACAGCCTGTATTGCCATGCTAAACAACCTGCTAGCTGCACAGATTACACAGCACAGCACTTCATGCAGTCAGCAGACATTGATAGGATTTCTTTGTAAGCAAACATGCTGGGGTGGATCTGTGTACCTGCGTTGTGTTATATCCGAGGAGATCATGCAGTAATTGTCATCAGTAGACACAACAGACAGACATTTCATAGCAAGAAAAAAGAAAATGAACATATTGACTTAGCCTGCTATTGCTGTTGTTACTGATGGTCTTGCTATGTATAGCACTGTTGGGCATTGGGTTAGTCAATTTCCGCTGTCTCAGACAAGAGGACGCAGAAGTATGTGCATCTTACACATAACATCACCACTGATATTTATTAATGGGCCAACAGAGAGAGGCCATAATTAATAGACAGCACTGATTCAATTTCACAGACTACTTACCACATAAAGTGAAATTAGAGCAAATGTAAAGAGCCTCCAAACCACTGACTGGAATGCAATTCAAAGCACAAGATGTCAAAAAAACCCAAAGTGATCACAAACCACAGATCAAAGAGATATTTTTCTTCCAAAGTTTAAACAAATACCATCAAGGAGATAACCAACACATTTAACTGCCATTTTGACAAAGATTCACAGAAGCCTACATTTTCAAAATTCAAACTGCTTCTATTCTGATTATATTCTATTCTACATTATATTCTGATTAGCTTGGCATTGTGTATATATGTTATATGCTTGTATTGGTCTTTGAATGCAAGACAAATTTCCCTTGCGGGACAATAAAGTTTATCTTATCTGATTCCTTGGAAATATAATTTGAGGTAAACTGATAACTGAACCTTATTTTTTCATAAAATACCAACTGTTACCTTGGCCTCAAGTGAACAAAATTAAAAACTACTCAAAACTATTACTATTTTAAAAAACTTTCAAGGTCATCTGAATAAAAAGCAGTGGCTACAGTATTGCCCAGGCGATTGATAAACATGACAGCGTCTGCCCACATGACCACACGACAACATGTCCCACAAGGCCTGCCGACTTAGCTTGCAAGGGAAATGTAATTATAAATCTGGCTATGATCTTTAACTGTCTCTCAGAAATGATCATTCACAGCGGACAGACATGATTCTCAGATGTCCAATCAAACAAACACGATGAATGTCATAATTGCTGCCTAGCAGTAACCACTAAGAAAGCCTGGTAGCTCAGAGCTAGGGATTATACTCTAATTGCTGCTAAACCTAGCTCAAGTCGAGGCAATTCCGGTAACGATAACACAGAGAGTGCCATTAAGTGTTTCCTTTGTTGTTAAGAGTTGCTGTGTAAAATGTGGTCTCCCCTTGAATCTTGCAAAGATTAACAAGCATTTATGGTATTATCAGTTTTCTATTTAATGAAGCATTCATTATTCTTCATCTCATTATAAACAACGATGTTTATTTTGTAATGTGTAACAGGTAACTCACTTTCTGAGCAGGCACTGGACTTTCCAAATGACTGCAACTTAAGTACTTCACATAATTATCAGGTGGTTTCATTCTTTGCTTCTTACAAAAACAGGATGGATAGATTGTTGGACCTCCATACACAAAGCAAATTCAAATATGGGTATGCAACAATGTTCTCTTTACTGAGTGAGCAGTGAGTGATTATGGTTTTACGCCGCTTGTAGCAATATTCCAGCAATATCATGGCAGGAGACACCAGAAATGGGCTTCACACATTGTACCCATGTGGGGAATCGAACCCGGGTCTTCGGCATGATGGGCGAACACTTTAACCACTAGGCTACCCCACCACCCCTTCTCCTTATTGGGTAGGGTGAGAAATTCAAAGCTAAGAAGGTTTGGGGCATATAAATTTTGATAAATATCTGATTATTTTCAGAATCAGTGATCCTATATCGGTATATGGTCTATCTGAATCATTAAAAAAAAAATAACAATATGACATGAAAATTATTTTCTCAGAATCCTATCAACCTGGTGCTTATGATGCCATCAAGAATTATCAGTATGATAGAATTCAGTTTTGATGCCACGATGATAAATATTTCAGAAATACTTAATTCCAAGCTTGATCTGAGAGGAAAGCCTGAAGTGATGCTGGTCTTGGACACTTTGGTAAAACCCACAAGCACCGTATGGTGCTGACAAATCTTGAAACATTAATGAGGGTGAATAAGGGATTTTCAATCCTTGATCACAGGTTTCTGGCACACCAAAGGGACACTACTGTGTATGGCGAATTGTGGAGCCTTTGACGAACTGGTCCTTTTGTGCCCCTAAAGAATTATGAGTGAGCGAGGCAGGTTTTCACTCCACTTTTAGCAATATTCTAGCAATATCACAACAGGAGACACCAGAAATGGGAAACCCATGTAAGGAATTGAACCACTTGGCTACCACACTGCCCTGATGCATTCTCAAGCCCAAAGCTGTTTGGAGATGTCATTCCAGAGAAATGTTTTGTTGGTCTTACAGCTATTTGAGTGCACACAAAATAACACTGAATGAAATCTTCAGAAATCCTGTATTGACGGGAAACATGATAATATTAATACACAATACTACAGGGGTGAGGTGGAATGGGGTTCAGTGTGCAGGATGTGGGAGACAAGCCTGAAGTGATGCAGGTCTCGGAAGAACTATACCACTTTGGTGGAACCCATGAGGATGGAGGCTGCTGACAGATCTGCAAACACAAACCGGCCAAATAGGATTCAAACCCACTATCTCACGTTTTTAGCATGCCTCCAGGACACAACTCAGGCAGGTAATTACTGCACCACAGACAACCAGGCCACCCATGTCCTCCTGTGGTATTATGTAGCCTGGGATCCCACCACCAACCTTCTGTTCTCTGGGAAGATGTTCTACACATTACAGTTAGACCTTAGAGACAATAAAACAAGACAACACCATATCTTAAGGTGACGAGTGTATACTTGTGTATAATTCACACAACACATTCGTGGGTACAAGTTTCTGCAAATTTGCTATTGATATCATGTGTACTAAAGAACTATATTTTATCTCTTAAGTGAACTAACACCAGATAACAAATGTTGTCAACCAAAATGTGAATAATGCCTAAAGAAAGCATCCCTGGAAATGATGATGTACAATTTCTATTGGATTTTCTGTAATGCTGCAGAAGATGTAACATGCGGAGAAAATTGTATCTTTTTTTTTAAAAGAAGCATATAGCAATTAACTGAACAGTAATTTTTTTCCAGATCTGCTGCCAACTTTTTACAATTCAAACTATGGCATTTATGATAGATGATAAATATGAGGCAAAATATAAGGTGAATACTTTTTATAACCAGTCAGTGTAAGACAAGAACTAACCTGCATACTTTAGTACGGATTTGTAGACATTCTATTGTATGCAGGGCGGTGGGGTAGCCTAGCTGTGGTTAAAGCATTCGCTCGTCAGGCCAAAGACCCAGGTTCGATTCCCCACATGGGTACAATGTGTGAAGCCCATTGCTGGTGTCCCTCGCCATGATATTGTTGGACTATTGCTAAAAGTTGTGTAAATCTAAACTCACTCACTCACTCACACTCACTCTATTTCATGCGTTATCTGCTCATTGTGACATGGGAAAATATTCACAACTCATTGTATATGTGTATAATGCCCATCCACCTGCATTTTCTGCACTGTACACAAGAAAATACAAAACATTTTGGGTTGGTAGATGAATTGTTTTCACATTCACAATAGATATAAATCCTGCATATCCTATTTCTTCG